CTATACACACAAGGAGTTGCAGTAATGCTTTTAAAACAGGCACATATAAAATACGAAAAAGCATTGGACAGTTGAGTAAGCACCACTGTGAGCATTTAATATAACTATCTTTCAAAATTTTAACAGAGTCAGATAGTTCAATTTAGCTCTTAGTGACAACTTTCAAGTTTTACAAGATTTACTACAAGAGGGAGGAGCCACTATGCACAGCAGCTATAAAAAATAAGCGAAACACTCACTTCAGGATTTCAAGGGGAGCTTGGCTAGGAATTCTCTCGAAACCAAGCCACTACAGACATATCGAGCTACTAATTTAGAAGATTTATTTACCGCTACAAACTGAACTCTGTAGAAGAGCTAATAACTACAAAAGAAAAAGCTGAAAGGAAATATGAAAGAACTATATAATACAACCAAGAATCATTTAGGAAAATATAATAAACCGCAGTGACCAGTCAGGAACAAAGAAGGAAACCCATTCACTGAGGCTCAAGAGCAAAGGATCAGATGGATAGTAGACTTTAAAGAACTCTGGCATATACTAACGCCAGTGGACTCACCGTACGTCGAATTTGCCCACACCAACCTCTACATAAATGTTATCTCACCAGCAACAGAAGAAACTAGCAAGGCTATCAGACAAATCAAGATTTGCAAAGCAGCTGAACCAGACAGCACATGATCTGAGAGGCAAAAGTCAGATATCGATGCGAATGCAAAGATATTCTATGTTCTCTTCTGAAAGATTTGGGAGGAAGGGCAAGTATCGAGAAACTGGGGAGAATACTTCATCAAGATACAGGGAAAGGAGATCTCAGCAACAGTGAGAACTGAAGAGGCATCACACTATTATTAATAGCACGGAAAGTGTTTAACAGAGGGTTACCGAACCGAATGAGAGATTCAGTAGACGCTCAACTTAGAAGCCAACAAGTCAGTTTTCGTAAGAACCGATCATGTACTAACCAAATCACCACACTGTGGATCATCGCTAATCAGCCACCTACACGGAACCAATCACTGTTCATCAACTTCCTTGATTATGAGAGAGCATTCGACAGCGCGGATAATAGAATCTTGTCGGATCTTCCTTGAAATGATGGAGTACCTGAGGAAATTGTCGCCCTCATACGAAACTCGTACAACGGACTGACTTGCGTTGCGGCCAGCTCATAGTTGCATTCCAAGTGAATATTCGTATCGGGCAAGACTGTCTACTCTCATCTTGGCTCTTTCTTGGGGTCGCTGATCAGAACATGGAAACCTCCACATCTCAAGTAAAGCACGGAATACAGGAAACACGTCGGACGCATGTGCGTGGTCTAGAGTTTTCAGATAATGGCACACAAAATATCAAATGTAAATGGAGACTGTCAGTGTAGCAGTGTCTTCCACATCAGTAGGAGGTCAGTATTCACAACGGTAAAAGCAATATTCAGAAGTACAAGCATTAACTAAATTACACTTGATGATGAAACTCTGAAGTAGGTAGAAAGTTTAACTGGAACTCAAAACAACTGTCACCTAACATCAAAGGCAGAATTTTCAACACTGAAGTTAGGACAGTTCCATTGTGTGAAGCTGAAACTTGTAGAACCACTACCATCATTATTAATACGGTACAGGTATTTCGATGCAGATGTTTACGCAAGATATTTCAGATCCACCAGAGATAAACCGTCAACAATAACGTACTGTGGCAGAGAACAAAATGCACGCAGTCGAAGAGAAAATTACAAGACGTCGCTGGTGGATAAGCCACTTTTATGGAAACCACTAAAGTGCATCACAAGCCAAATTCTAACTTGGAATCCTCAAAGTAAAAGGATAACGAAAGAATACGCGACTTCGAGAATCGGAGGAAGACGTCAAGAACATGAAAAAAAAATTCGAAATATTGAAAATGAGAACACTAGATAAAGTTGACTATAGACCCTTGGTTGATAGTAGATACTCCTCGAGATGTAGCAAGCTTAAATAATAAAGCAATAGATTATTCAATGAAATTCGCAAGACAATTGTGACATACATGGTTCTAGGAAGCTATAAACCTAGCTAAATTCCACGTAATTAAGTTCATCTGAAAGTGCTATTCACTAGAAAGTAACTTGCGCTGGAAACTTTTTCAAAATTGATTTCGCAGTTATCAAAGATCAGCACCCACACTCCCACATAATAGTGAACATCGGATCTTCATATCAAGTAACGTGCATGACACTTAATTCATTATTCTTCTATCATTTCTTTCGATGTTCTAAAATTTTATCAAGTTTTGATATAACATAATTCTGAGTTTGTGTATCAGTATTAACTTGTTTGATTACAAAGATCATGATCTACAACTAGAAATCCATAGCATTTATCTAACAATTGGTAAGCACATGATATATTTTAACTGACGTCGCAAACTAATATCACTTTCATTTCATAATTATTTTCTAATATCTAATTACATTTTTGATAATAAACAGACTTCAGTAACTCTCTTCTGAAAGAAAGGTACTGACTATGTAGTTTAACCTACCGGTATCAACATTTAATTAGTTTACATATGTAGCTTTGACCAATTATTAATGAATCAAAGCATTTAAAAATAAAAGATTTTTGTCATGTAATGGAGTTTCTCATGGTGCTCTATTATGGAAATAAACCTTATTTACGAAAAAAAAAGGAACAACTCACACTCCTTTATAATTGTCATTTTTGTTTATTTGTTTGCTTAAAATAAATAAGACATCAAAAATTATCTATATACATATATGATAAAAGTAAAAATAAGGCCATATGTTTAGTAAATTATATTTTGTAGAATAAGCTTTACCTATTTCTACGTTTATAATTCTCATCATACATAGAAAATAACAAATAAAATGCACAATGAATAGATCTCGACTATGTAGCTGGTTGTCAGATTTGTCCATAAATATATAGATGTTTAATAAAATAGATAAAAAGTGAACAAACAAAAACCTATAAAAATTCAAATTGAACATCCCATTTTGATTAGTTAGCTATTTATTTTATCTAAACAAAGTAATTCGGTAAATATTTAATACTGAATTAATATAAAGTAGTAGGTAGAATTATTCCCTACTTTTATTTTTCAATTAGATACAGACAAAGAGAACAAAAACAAAGATTTGAAGATAATGATAATGAATTAATTATTTTTTCATTAAATTCTAATCAACTGATCACAATCTAAAATGAAAATTATACGCAGAACCTAACATATTTCATCAAGTGAAATTGATTAGAATTATGGTGAAACAAAAATCCAAATGCAAACAACAAGAATAAAACACTGATGAATATCAATATCCAAAAAATAAAAATAAAAATATTTCAGAACATCGAAAATGATAAATTATTGTAGAAATAAACACTAATTGATTATTGTTATAACTTGTGGCCTGTTTGCCCCGTTAATGTATAACGTAACGATACCGCCAATTAGAGAACAGTGAATTATCGACCGGACCAATGACGCGTAAAACCTGTACGAGAAGTCTAGAGTCCTAATCGGTCCTGCTTACTGCTTAGTCCAGCCTGTTAATTCTAGAACACCAATCTCATCCTCTGAGATATGAATCATTTATTTCAAACATACTAGGTTTATATACCAACCAGACAGACCACATCGTAACATAAAATATGAATCAACATTTGTACAAGAATTAGCCAAAAGAGGCTGTGAATGTGGGAGGTAGTAATTGATACACTGGGCAGAACTCAGGAATGGTAAATCGTATAATAACAATTCGTAGGTTAAAATAAAGCTTATGATAAGAGGAACACGAATATGAATAGTTGAGTCATTTAACGATTATACGATAAAAATATACGTATAGTATTTGTCCATAAGTGGATCCCAAAAGTTACCATTCATTTTTCTCTTTACGATATAACAATTGTGTAATGAAATGAAGGAAAACAGACTGATCGTAATTACGAGTAACATGAATTAAGGTAATTCAGTTATAAATAAAATTATGAATTAGAAATGATACAAATGAAGTAAAGGGAACGGTTGAAAATGGTGTAATAAAATAAAGTTCATGTAACAATCGTAATGAAGACTTCACTACTCTTTCTTCTTGAACACAAATCCGGTTTTGTTTTAGAAAACTGGGGTTTATTATTCATTAATAAATTTAAATAATTTCTGATCTTGACCTGATACCTTGTATCAAAAAGATGTTTGCATTTAGTTATACTTAAAGTCTTTATTCCATTTGATTGGAAACATTTTAGAATGTGTTCATGAATTTGGGACCTAGGGTCTAACAACTTTGGCACGTAAATTTCTGCATGCATCTAGCAGTATTGCAAAACTGATATACATCTTTAACTGCACTAATAGCATGTAGATTTGTACAATATCATCAGTTTAGCTGTAGGATACGTTCTAATTAATGTAGTAATTGTTCTGTCGGTTGCGCCTCCAACATCGTTGAATAGAAATATATATATTTTACCTTATTGTAGTTGCCCTATGATTTTTGGCTTTTTCTTATATGTATATTTCTGAACATCCATTGTTTCTTAAACCTTTTTCATTAGTTTTTTTTATAAATAAAATAATATATTTGTAATATCCCAATGCGTAGAAAAATCAGATTTTCTGACATTTCGTGACTCAGTGGAAGCCATTTCTTCAGAGAATAAATGACCAAATAAAACAACGCAGGAATATTCTTTCGTTGTTCTGATTTACTTATTTATTCTCTGAAGAAGTGGCTTCCACTGAGTCACGAAATGTCAGAAAATCTTTTTTTTCTACTCATTGGGATACTACAAATATACTATTTATTTATAACAAGCTACGCAATGCTCAATTTATTCGAAATTATCAAGTCAAACCTTGATAATGATACCTATTAATTTTTCTAGTTTAGCAGCAACATGAATCCTTTCTGTTATCTAAATGTTTTTGACCAGTGGCTTTTATAACAAATCGGACGAAGAACACAAATTCAGATAGACTCAATTTCACTTACTTTTTTGATAAGGCTGAACGTTGAATAGTCCCATCCTTCGTCCTTTGTATCTGAATATTAAGGAAGAAAAATTTATCATTCTTTTGATACTTTATAGTAAAGTGGATATTCGTTTGCTCCTTGTTATAAAGCCATAGCAGGCAAGTCACATGTTGTTGCTTATTACATGCGATAAACATTTCGTTAACCTAACCGGAATAATCCCCCATCTCGTTGGTCACAATTTTAAACTTTGTCTTTTTCGGACTAAATATATAAATAGCCTATGGGATGAAAGCCCAATAGACTTCCCTAAGGCACACTATCAGTTAGACAGTACATGATGCCATCAAACTGAAAATGAATATCTGTCATCCATATAAACAGCATTCGTTGAAGTCAAATGATGGTAGAGTTAAGAAGTCTCAATTCTGTCAAGTCAACTTCACATTTTCTTGAATCGGTACTTTGGTAAACAATGATGTTACTTCAAAAAACCGCCAACTTACCAGAAGTATATGTATGACTCAGTTTTTTAGCAAACTGTAATAAATATTTTAATGTATAAGTAGCCAATCGCTGACGAACAGGATCTAACTTCTCTGTCAGCAAGCATACAACTTTGTTGTGAGGTGAAATATTCATTGACGAAATAGGTCAAACTGGCACAACATGTTTATACATCTTCGGCATACCATACATATCAGGCGAATAAGACCCTCGAGGCTTTGTAAAATTCTAGGTAGAGTTAACAATCACTCTTTCTTTTAGAAATTTACTGAATATTCTCATTTTTCCTCTTTTCATTCAGTTAGTTAAATCTTTGTTATATATCAATCTTCGATCCTAATTAGTCGTTTAGAATTGATTTCAGTCTAATAACTTAATCAGCTGTGTTCGTTAGCAGAAAATAAGAACCTATATTTGGTTGTTCTATTACTATTGCTTGGGGTTCCGTGATTATGGACTATGCTGTTTGGACTGAGCCTTCAATCTTGGTGTGTGAGTGAGATACATTGGTTAGTGATATCAATCTATAGTATTATGGATAAGACTCACAAATAACTTGACAAAATATTGTTACTGCTACATTTTATTGAGTGTGAATTCAACTGTTTACTTGCTACTGTGTATTGGAACAAAGATTGATATTGTTCGATGCAAGGGAAAGAATTAAGACTGAAGATGAAGAGTTTATTATGTACCAAATACAAACCCACAACAGTTTAAAACAGCATTAAAAATCAAATCTTTAAAATACTTAAGAAACCATTTTCTACATCCAATAATACAAATCAATATGCGACAACGCCTAATTATAGCATCCGCGCATCTTTTTTATTAGTGAAACGATCCCATTTTAAATATCTCGATATGAATTACTCTACCAGTAAAATTTCGAGACTGCAGAATAGTTAGCTTCAATTTGTCCGTAAAAAAGATTTACTGTCATCCTTTGTTCGCTGTATTGATGCTTACTTCTGTGAAAATCCCTTAGGTATTTTTATACCCTTAAGTATATCTAATTCTACCAGTGAAGTTATCGGGACATTAAATACCTAATAGTTATCACTATTGAGCCCATTGATTAAACTTCCATACCTGGAAATATTTTACATGCACACCATCCCCAGTAAACTTAACTGGTTTAAGCAATATCTAACTCGAACAGTAGATCATGAAACAACCTGGTACAGGCATCTCAATAGACTTTTCATACTAAATATTGCTGTTTTTCCGTGCTCTCTGTCTCGATTTTATTTTCTATAGTTCTGGATAGCTATAATCACTTTGTTATGATACTGGGAATGAAATTGAATACACTGTTTGTACCATAGACAGCAATTGACGGTTTCCGACTGATCCCTTACATTGCTATAACCCACATGAAAAAATGTACTATCGATGTAATTTTAGGAATGGATACCTTTTAGTGAGGTCAGTTAGATCGGACGATGTTATCGACGGGCTCATCACTTTAGTGGCCCTTTATCTGACTCCAATTGGATCGCATGAATGTTATCGAAATACATATGTGCTACGTTAGGTTCGTCGCCGGCGAGCTCCACACTTCGTTGGCCTGGGACCTGACTCCAAGTAGATCGTATGGATGATTGTTATTGAATGACTGCTGTCGAAATATACATCCTAACTATTGTCGTACATTATTATCGACTTAATCCGCGTTAGTGAATGTAACGGAATTAAATAAGCTGAATACGACGATGGATTTTGAATATGTATGTTTCATGCACTCAGTGATTTGAACAGGCAATGAAAGAGACGAAACAAAAAGAAGAGAGTGAAGTGAAATAACGTGCAGTGGAGAAGGCACGTGAACCAACCCATTTAATCAAGCGTTCATCAATATTTAAAGTCACTCAAAAACAAGCCACAGACATGTGATGAGTAGGATAAGATGTACGCAAACATACGCTCATACAACAACAGTCAAAGTTGATAAGCGAATAATTAACAAGGTCAAAACATAACTCACGAAGAATGGATAAATTGGCCAGTCCAGAAGCTAGAATAAGTTATGTGGGCTTAACATAATAACCGACACTACAATCTCAAATGGCCTAATATTATATATAGGTTTTTTATGTTTACTACATTAATCAGTCAGTAATTTAATGCATATTGACAATTTACAATATCACCAGATTGAATGCTGTAACTACAAATATAAATAAATTACGGAGTTACATCATATATCACAGTAACTTGTAAAAATATTCGTACACTAAATGGCTGAATATGAGCTCATAGCTCGAAAAAGGATCTCGTTCATTTCAGAATACTGAACGGATGTTTCGGGATTAATGATGAGTTAACTAGAATTCAGGATTTTTTGTTTAGCCAGAAAATCATTTCATTTGGCTCAATAAAACTGACGTTTTATACAGTAAATTTAACATATCTCCTAGCACCACAGACATAACGGTTGACTAAAGATCGACTTTAAAATAAGTAGAGTTTGATCAGTTTACAGAGCAGTTAACATATTTCGGTTGTATCTTGCATAACTTTGGCGATGCCGACACAAATTATATTGTTTTAGAAAAGAAAACCGTGTTACAGAACAACATTCCCCAACAGTCACAAAACCTTATACTAGTTTTTTTCTTATTTCATTTTCTTAAAATAAAATTATGAGTATTCAAAGAACAGAAACGTGAAAACATGAATTATTTTCTGATCACTTGTTTATTCACTTCCATAACCTTTTTGACTATTTTCATCTACAGTGTTTACATTCTCTACATTAATCATACATTCTGAATTATTAATTCTAATAACTTCTTTGTGTACTTCGTGAACGTTGTTATGTTTGGCTTGTAACTTGTTTATGTTTGTAGATAAATCTTATTAAAACGGATGCTTTTCTTTTCATAAACTTACACAAAGGCAATTATTGGTGTTATTATTTCCATAGTAGGCTACTCAAACCTCTATTTTGCTCCATTGTTTTGATGTACAAGGGATATTTTAAAAAATGATTAAAATTTGATATATATATATATATATATATATATATATATATATATATAACTCCTTATCCTTTCTAAACGGTAAGTTATCATTACCATTGACTTTGATATGTTATATCAGTTTTCTGCTCAGTAAAACAAAACAATATACCTTTATCTACATATTTTGGATATAAGTTTATGGTCATAAAAACTATTTGTCCGTTTTCCGCTACTCATTTTCAAATGGAAAGATAAATGTTTCATGTTCGTTTTAATATATATACATAGAACAATAAATGAATTGATTTATTTCAGTCTACAATTTAAACTATACCCGTGTCGTACTCTGTTTCATTATTTCCTTCCAGAATACAGTTATTTTTTTGTTCTAAGATATTCCTTAATCTAACCTATATGTTCCACTGGTCTCTAATAGGTCTTTGTGTTAAAGCTCATTGAAAATCTTTGGAAAATGACTGGTAAATGTGATAGTTAATCATTGTTTCCGACAGATTACAAAACATTTTTAGTACGTCATTTATATATTCTTTTTTCCAACTGAACCAAAATAAAAAATCTCATTATTTTGGAATACTTTATAAGAATTATTACCATGTTTTGAACGAGAAGTGTTGAATTAGTTAGGCTATGAGTGTACGAAAGACGTTGAAAATAAAGTTTCGTTTGGATAGACCTTGGCGTTTTAAATTTAATAGCTTTTATGTTTATGTTGGAGTTCATTTTCGAGCTAAACTTCAAGCAGGATTTGAGTTATGAAACATAAATATATCTCCTAATGAGGAGCTCAAATAAATAGCCACTTTCTAAATTATCTATAAGACAAAGTTCTGAGAGCATTGGTATTTATAATTTATAATTTAAGGTTAAATTTCTTAGAACTTGATTTTACTCATTTATTTATAATACAGCTACCGCGAAATGAACCGACCAGTCATTCTTGGATTGGTCACAGGTTGAAATTTATATAATGATATGTGGTTACTAGAATAAATACCATGTAAAACACTAACTTTACAAGATAATAGAAAACATTTAATGGTTTTATGATAAAATAGGAATTGTGTGTTTCAGAAAATTTAAAAACGATCACAATTAAATTCAGTAGTATCCAACCAAAAATCGGACGTTATGTCTTCATGAAGTCATGGCCTTATATATATTAATAAAAACTCGTACCACTTTGATAAAACGAAAAATATAGCCAAATATTAGCTCAGACATCTACTTGTCAATTATTTAATCAGCCACATTGATTGTTCAATATATTCAGAATTAACATTTCAGTTGTTCCTCACGTGACGTTACCGACTATTAAAAAACAATCTGTATTCAAATAATAATTTCTTGCTTGTGTTTTGATTTGGAACTATTTCGTTCTCATGAAATAAAGTAACTAGGATTCCAAGATATATTGGTCCACTGTTAATATGGCTTTAAACTTACGTACATGTGTCCATAACAGAGATTGTATCACACTACTATAAAGAAAATTAATTATGAACATTTTCATTCAGGATTCGTGTAACCGATATAGCTGCTCAACTGATTTATTTTCATACATTACTCAGAATTTG